CTCCAAAGAGGTTGAAGGGCCACCAGAGCCACAGTCAGAATCCAGGAGCTCCTCCCCACAGAAAGCTCCCTCAGAAATTGGGAAATTTGAACGTACTATGTCCCCTTCCAGTGGGTACTCCAGTCAGAGTGGAACTCCAACGCATTCCCCTAAAGGTATCACTCCAACCTCCCCAGAAAAACAGAAGAAACCCATCAAACCAGAGAGATCAATGTCCCGGGCCTCATCCTCAGCAGCTTCGCCTTCTTCCTCTCTCACCTCTCTTTCATCCGGTACATCTGAGCCACTACATCTGGATGTTTCCACAAGTAGCCAAAATATTCCTCCACAGGAAACTTCACCCACAGCAACTTCTAACGAACTCACACCAAATAACAATTCATCAAATTTGAGAGTACAATTCAGTGAGCTGATGAACATCCCACCACCTCCCAAGGTCAAAGCACCATGCTCTCCTCCTCCAGAGACATGGGTACACAACAAACAGACCTTTGAGCTCCTGTGTGGGTCCTACTCCAGTGTCAGCAAAGACACCCACAAACCCATAAAGATACCAGACAGCACAGTTAAACAGGGAGGAACCCAGAATAAACCAAGAAAGGAGATGCAAGTTTTAGTTGAAAAACAGACAGCTGTAGTCGAACCTGTCTTAGAACTGTCAGACAGTGAAGCAAAGTCTGAGGTATTGTTAGCAACAGATCCCAAAGATGTCCACAAGGAGCAAGAGAAGGAGGAATGTCCAGGTGCTGAAATAGAGGGAGTGGAAGCAAATGCAGATGTTCAGAGACAAGAGCAGAATTGTAGCCCTGTAGTGAAGAGCTCCAAGAATCAGGAGACAACTCAAAAGAAAGATCCCCCTCCTGTGATGAAGAAACCCATGACAATATTGCAAAGAGAGGAACTGCTGTCAACCGAGCAGTTGGTAGAGAAACAACAAAAGGAAATGAGTAGTATGCCGATAGAAGTTCATTTGGCTACTGAGAAACTTGCAACTTCCTCACAGAATGGGGTAATGGATGTAGTTGAGAAGAGTGATAATGAAGTCCCATCAATGCAGACACTTTCTGTAGAAGTCCCCAAAGTTAATAAGGTCTCACCACCACATACCCCTCCCCCGCCATACCCCCCCACACCTCCTCCCTCAAGAAAAACCCCACCGTCATCAGTGTCTATGCCACCAGGCGAATTACAGAAGGTACAAGAGGAGAACCAAGCTGTTGAGTCTTGCTGGCCGCCTCCTCCACCTCCTTTAGAAGGGGACTCAGTCTTTGAAGGAGGAGATGAGGTAGATTTTCCTCCTCCACCACCACCATTTGTAACAGAAGCACCAGATGTGATGGACAGTTGTGTCAAAAAGCTGGATGTCCTTAATGAGTCTACCTTGGCTGCACAGGAAGTTGGAAAGACAGACACAGATTCAAGTGAAAGTGGGACATCAGTACAGGGAGAAAGTTCAGATTTGCCTGTTGCTGTATCACAATCAGCAGTAGAAGACAGCAAACCAGAGGTTGTCGTGCAACTTTCAAAATCTATCAGTGGTGAGGAGATTTCTTGTCCTCCAGTGCCAGACATTTCATCTGTTTCAGACAGTACCCCACCTCCACCAGTGGAAGCACCTCCTTTACCACCAATTAAAAGAGCTGATAACACTGTATCAGTCTCTGCTTTAGTTCCCTCCAGCAGTTTCCAGAGGCGAAACTCTCTTAAAATTGAGGATCAGTCTTCATGTGGGCCACCCGTTAGTGCCCAAACTCCAATTACAGTCCCAGTAGCACCCCCTCTACCAGCAGAGAATATTACCCATGGAGTTAATTTCAGGAGGCAGCCCAGTGTAGCAAACCGAGACACCAGGAGCAAAGAGTTGCTTTCCCGCCACAAGAGTACACCCATTCCTAAAGAGGATGCAAATATACCTCTTGTCACCCCCTCCCTGCTTCAGATGGTTCGCCTTAGATCAGTCAACATGACTGAAGATCAGGTGAACACCTTCTCTGAGGACAGACTAACAAACCAGGGAGCTCCAGTTAAAGAGAGTTGCCCAGTCTCAATCCCAGGACATATTCCACAAAAGCCCATCCGCAAGTCTCTGTCTCTAAAATCTCCACCTCAGACAGTAAAAACCTCTGTGACTTTAAACAGCCCTTCCATGCGCTTACAGGAAGCCATACGAATGAAAACTGCAGCAATGTCATCTAGAGATTGTCTTCCATCCAGACTGGGTGTGAGATCACCTACATACAGCTGTGTGAGTGAACCAGGAACTGTGTCTGTCAAACCACCTGAAGGAAGTGACATCAACATGTCCCCAGCCTCTACAGCCAGTTTTATCTTCTCCAGGAGCACAAAAAAGGTCATCATAGAGACTGCAGCTGCCACCTCGTCTGAAGCTCAGGCAGGTCTGAAGCAAAGCTTAGCGGCTGAGCTCATGCAGGTGTCTGACCAATCAAGAGCTGCCACTTTCTCTAATGGTGGGGTGAAGTGTGACAAAGTCCCACCACCGGTCGCAAAGAAACCAGCGCATGGCATCATCAGTCCTTCACAGCATAATCCCGTCTGTTCAGGATGGAAAGAGTACACTGTCAAAGGAAATGGAGCAATCAAAGGAGAACAACAGACAAGTGGAATAACACCTCCTGAGACAACAAGTAAGAATAATAACATCATTTATCACTGTGATGTTCTGACATTATCTTTGCTTAAAGGTCCAGTGTGTAAGATTTAGGTGAAAGGGAAATAGTGATGTTTCCACTTGTGTGTTTCATCTAAATTGCAAGAATTGTTGTTGTCTTTACCCTGGAATAGGACCTTTATATTTAAATACTTTATATTTACATCATGAGCATTTTTTTTATAGTAGCCCAATTTGGACAAACATTTTTTGTTTTTATGACAACTGAAGGTTTCCACAGGTTCTCTTTCATGTTTGGAAGGGGAGGGTGAGGTGAGGGGTATTCAGCTGCAACATGCAACTTCACCTCTAGATGTCACTAAATTCTACAAATTGAACATTAAAAACTAGGGTTGATAATCCTGGAAAAACTTGCAAGAGCAGGCTACATTTTGAAAAAATGCAATCCATACATCCCACCCCCTCCCTCTCATCCAAGCTACGCCCCTTAAAACCCATGAAGGTGCACTGCTTAACGACTGCTGGAAGACGACTTTTCTGAAACTCGTAGTTCTACTTCTGACTATCGTCTCTGCTTCAGTCTTAGTATCAGATTATGATAGTGACAGACAGGTTTGCCAACCAATCATTTTATTCTTACATTCCTACAAGGGCCACTGCCTTCCTCACAGTGTTTGAGTGTGCTGCTGCTGAGTATGTAAACTCATCAAGGCTGATTCAGTGCTGGTTTAGATCAATAACTAATGTGCAACTCTAGACATGGAAAAAGCAGAATGCAAAGTCTAGCATTACCATGAGAAAGCTAAGCACTTTAGCATCACCTTAAAGGCCATATTTTCCCATCCATACCAACAAGAGAAAAATGCAAACACAGGTCCTCCGGGGGGTCGGATCTGTATTTGCATTTTTCTGCACGGACACAATCCAAATGCTGCTACCCTTGCATACATCTTTTTCCAGCAAAATGTGCAAGCATGTGCTTTAATCAGCCTCGATCGGGTCAGACTATTTAAGATGTGTGCTCCTATCACTGTGTCATGGCAGTGTGTAATGTCTTAACCCTCCTGTCTTCTCTCTACAGCTACAAGAGTGACGGCAGACACAATTGAGACACTGTTTTGAAAGAGCTCTGTGGTGATGAACTGAGGTCCGGACTCATGCCAGAGGAACAAGAAAAAAACTTCATGAAAGTAAAAGGACAACTCACAGCGACGACTGACTGACAGTACTGAGAGTCGTTAAGCTTTACTCGTCCGAGTGTTGTCGTGTGTTAAGTATTCTCCAAAAGCCTTAGCCTGTTAAATGGCCTTCCTATATTTATGCAAAAAACTATGTTGCTCCCAATTTCTTATGATAGCTTTATTCTGGAGTATTTTTCTATGCTATAGTTTATCTCTTATCAAGGCCCCTCAGGATGAAATGGTGTACAATGGCTGAGCTGTAAATATTTGGCTTGTGTGAGATCGCCTCCTAGAGGTTTGATTAGGTAGTGGTCACTGCAGCTCAAGAGTTTGAAACAGAAAGCATTTCTGTACTAGTGTCAGTTTTTTCCCTGTTGTAATATAATACAGATTTTTCATGGGATTTAAAGGTGACAATGAGATCCGCTTCAAGACTAATTAGCATTTTTCACCTTCTTTGTTTAAAGATCTGAGAACAAGCAAATGATCATATTCAGTTTTTCTCCTGGCTTTCACTGAGTAGACAGATCTTAAAAAAAAAAAAAGGGATGCTGCATACTCACAAGAACGAGGGAGATGTTTTCTCAGTTAGGACAGAAATATTTTTGTGAAGCTACAGATTTTAAACCATTTAACTTAGATGCTTCTACAAAATCCCTTTCTTTTGAATCGTTCTATGAAATCTTTTTTGGAAGCAGTAACACAAGCATTATATTTATTTATGTGGTTGTTTCCACTAGTAGCACTGTCAGACACCTTTTCCTACCGAATATGAAATATTTAAGAATTTATGTCATCTGATAAATTACTTATAGGGCTATGAATTCGATGACTGGCCCCAGATGATTTGATACACTGGAGTAGGCCAAGTGTGAGGTCAGTTTTTTTTTTTTTATTATTAAATGTTCTCTATCGAACTCTTTGGCCCAAGCCTTTTTTGTTGAAAAATGGAACACATTACGATTTGCACAACAAAATGCTTTCCCCCAGCAAAATCACGTGTGAATTATCATGACAATAAACATTTTGATGATTATAAAGAATTATGTACAGTTAATACTTCTATAAATAAAAATCTAAGTGTATTGTATGTTTTCTGCTTTTTTCTTTGATTAACTAGACAAACATACGGTTACTGTTCTTTCACACATTTCTCTGATCCCACACAGAACTAAAAATAAATAGTTAAATCCTGCAGACCACTGATTTCAACATTTATTTCATATATGACATGTTGTATTATTGGAGTTTTACAGTTAATGTCCAGAGTTTGATTTAATGTAACACTGCACCCAATGCAACCATCCTATAGGACAAGGCAAATAGCTTTTTCCCCATGTATGTCAGAAACCCACAAAACCTTATTTACCCTGAAGGCAAATTAATAACGCTGCAATTTTACCCATGAGAAGCACTGAAAGTCCCTTTTTAAAACACCTGAGATCCCTCATCAGCTACTTCCAGGGATGAACATCTGATGCTTCAACTTTCAAGTAAATCATTCCTTCCATCTGAATAGGCCCAGTTTCACCCATTTGCAGAACATGTGTTGTATTTGTACATTTAAGTGCATTAGTAAAACCAGCAACACCCAGTAAATGAAGCGGTACTGATGAATCAGAGGTTGATTAGTTATATTTTCTGTCATGAGTGGCTCATGCTGAAATTAATTAAATATCCTTTTCTGATAAAGTCAAAGGATGGTAACAGATTTCGTCAAAGCATCAATGTCTCATCATTTCTCCAAGAAAACATCCAGATGAGGTTTGACCCAAGGAGCGGCTTGGGTGATGTGTTTTAACTGATGTTGCCTCCTTTCAGTGTTTTACACGTGATCTGCCCGAGTGCGGTCATCAGCTGATTGTCTTTCCACTGAGCTACACACTCGTCTGACACCTTCAGGTCAACCTGGGGAAAAACAAGAAGAATTCAATCAATATGAAATTATTCCATGTAAGAAAAGTTCCTAAATACAAACATAATCCATATTTAACTAGAACTACCACACTGCTGTTGTATGCCTCCACCAACCAGGGCAGCTTCTGTGTATATATTTCTACATACTTTTGTTCCAGATTCATATAAAGGTCACATTGACCTTTACCTTTGACATAATCACTTTGTCTTAGAGTCCAAGTGACAAAGGATCAAAAGTTGAAGAAAATACTTCAAGGGGCTTTTTTTTTTTGAGTCACCCTGACCTTTAAACACTGAAATCTTATTATTTCATTAGTGAGTCCAAGTGAATTGTGTCAGATATAGTGAAATACCCTACAGGCAGTCCTAATATATATATTCACAGCAACACAAGGTCACTGTCACCTTGGCCTTTGACCTCTAAGCTACCGAGATGAAATCCAAACTCAATGAATGTTTGTTCCAAACGTGAATGGCGGTCTAGAGATATCACCTTCGCAAAGCAAAACATGTGCTTTGTGAGGGCATCGTGACCTTTGTCCACCAAAATCGAATCAGTTCATCCGAGTCCAAGTGGATATTTGTACCAAATTCGAGGAAATTCCCTCAAGGCATACTTGAGATGTTGTGACACAGAAATGGGACGGACGGACAACCTGAAAACTCCTGACTGGCTGTCGCAGACCCAACAGTGGCTCCTCTTTAAGTAAAAGTGAAATCTTACTAAACGTACCTGTAGTTTCTCCCACACCTTCTTCTTCGGGTTGAGTTTGTCATCTGCTTTGCCCGTCTCATATCCCTCCACAAAGACACGTTCCCCTGGCGATGAACCCTCTGGAGGGTCGAGAGGCTCCACCCTCCTGGGCTCCCCTTCACTGGAAATCATCAAAACAGAGAGAGCCAAGATGATGGATGATGAAGCTGAGGGACACGCTGAATTTGTCTTTGTGCATAAAGAAAAATCACTCACATGGAGGCACACAGCAGCATGGCTTGAGACTCGATGCCTCGCATCTTCTGGGGTTTCAGGTTGCACAGCAGCAGCACCATTCTGTCCTGCAGGTCCTCTGGTGAAACATAGGCCACCAGACCGCTGACTACCGTCCTTGGCTCTGCCTCACCCACGTCGATCTTCTCCAGGTAAAGCGATTCAGCGTCTGGATGCTAGGTCGGACAGAGAAGAGACCCGTGAGAGGACTGTGATGATGACGCATGATCTCATCACAAACTGATCATCTGCTCAGGCATCAAGTTACAATCTGTTTGTTCTACCTTCTCCACACTGATGATCTTGCCCACTCTGATGTCCAGTCTGGAGGGAGCCAGCTCATCATCGTCTCCTCCTCCTGCTCCTCCTTTGGCACCTTTTCCTCCTGATTCTAATTACACAATACACACACACATAAATAACAATAAGTCTCCTTACACAGCAATCTGCTGTATGTGGGTTGAAAGCAGCATTGCACTGACTTGTCTTTGATTGGTTGGGGTAAGCAGAGTTTGTAAGCTTGCGGAGATCCGGCGTCTCAAACTTCTTTCTGATTGGCTCCAGCAGTTGGTTTAGCGCAACTTCCACAGAGGCCTTCAGGTCTCCTGGATGAATCATCTGAGAAGAGCAGAGATCAGAGTTATCATTTACAAAGCATTTTTCAGTATTCTTCAATTATCCAGTAAGACTGTGATTTACCTCCTCAGCAAACTCCTTCTCCACCTCTTCAAACACCGTGTAGATTTTCTCTCCACCCCACTTGGGGTCCCTTTTGATACGGAACTCTAAAAGACACATGGACCCCAAATATAAACTCAAGAGGATGAAGAGAAGCTAAGAAAACAGATTATAGGATGAGGTTTTTTTACCTCCACGCAGAGGGAAGATGACGTGTTTGACAAAGGAGAGGACGCCGTTATTCTGGATGTTGCCGGGCTCACAGAACGCCCTCTTCAGCTTCTTCTTCACGTCTTCTTTAGAGTCCAGCAGGTCAATCTTTGACTCCTGCCGCCGCAAAGAGATAAAGAAGTGATGACTGGTCACAGGCATTAAGAAAAGTGCGCACAGGAGTATGATCATCACTTTTTCCTGTGAAGATACAATTTTGTTTCTGCAGTCTTACTTCTTCTGAAGAGCTCATCTTGGCTCCTGTCAGTCCTGGAACCATTGGGTTCATCAGATGTGCCCGTTTAGCAAAACCGAGAGACGGCAAGTACTGGAGACAGAAGGAATATTCATCCGATGTGAGCTTTCGGATATGCACTGAAGAAAACTTTTATTTTACAAAATAAACAATACAGAAAAGATGCACATTCATGTTTACAGTGTACATTAAGATTAGCATTTACTTGTATTTGAGTTTTCTTGTTTATTTATAGTTATTTATCAAAAAGTTATGGTCAAACGTGAAAAAGAAATGTAATTGAAGCTTGCTATTTTCAAAGTGTTTGCTGAAGAATTATTACAAATATATAAAGTATATATATATTTGATGATATATCAGCAGGCATTTTAGTTTTACTCCCTAATATCAATATCGGTTTCGATGTCAGTCTGGCTTTAGTAAGTGTGAGTAAAGAAGGAAAACTAAATGTGCCAGTGTGGAGGGAGAGGTCACCTTCTCTGCCAGGGTGAAAATCTTCCTCTGGTCAACTCCTCCAAACTGGGCGTCCACCTTCAGGTACTCCTCATCCAGAGCCTGAAAAGAAAAACATGTCACATTTACAGCTGCAAATACTCATGACAACAGACATTTAGTTTAATTGTTTGTATATTCATGCAAAAACTTGAGCTCAAGATGTGAAGATGCATAAACATAAACAAACACTGTGTTGACATTACATTAGTACTTGCAGTTTAATTTACCAGTGGGTTTTTAAAACGTGTTGTTACCTGCAGTCCTGGGTAGAGAAGTCCACTCAGCAGAGGATGCTCAACCTGTTTTACAACCTCGGCTCCGGCCTTCTTAGCATCATGCTCTGTCACCATGGAGGACAGGCGGTACACATCCAGAGTGTACTCTCTGACAAACATGAAAACAAAGAGCTTCAAAATAAGTCTGTGTAGGCTGCAGCTACTGAGACTATTTCACTAATGTAATTTAAACAAATGTCAGGACTGTCTGGGAGTAGCGTCGGCACAACTGACCTGCTGAGCTGGAAGTCCGTTCCTTTGACAAACTTGAGTTTATCCAGAGGCACACCGATGCTCTCCAACATGGCCTTGATGACCTGTTCATAGTACTTCACCCTGAGCTCCAGCAGCTCCCAGGGTGCCTTCATGTTGTCGAGGAAGGCATGCAAGTCTGCGAAGAGAATGGTGACCTGAGAAAAAGAAACCAAAGGTGTTTGCGTGAGCTGCTGTAAGATGTGAACACAGATTACATTTTTTCTTGATGCCAGACAAGATGCTCAGTGAAGCGTATCGACCTCACATCCCGCCTTGAGGAAGTCTGCGATCTTGGACATGGGGACGAAGTAAGCGACATGGGGTTTTCCAGTGGTGGCTGTACCCCAGTAAATTTTCAGCTCCCTCTCCTGAAGAACCTGCTTCAGCTTCTCCTCTCCAAGGACCTCCTGCAGTACACAACACACACAGACACACACACAGACACACACAGACACACACACAGACACACACACAGACACACACACAGACACACACACAGACATCACTATTGATCGGCTCTCCCAGGATGGATATTAAACCCAGGTCTAAAAGGGTCTGAGACTGTGTGATGGCTTGTCTTCCTCACCTGAAGGTTCCTTGTGATGAGGTCGAACTTCTCCTCTGGACTCAGCTGATCTGCCATGGTGCACGGTCTTCTGGCTGAGAACACAGTGAGGACAGCAGGTCAAGCACTGATGTGAACAGACAGAAGCGGCTTCGTTTCGTTATGAGTCTGTGGGTCACATGAGCTCAAATCACTTTCACATCCAATCAAAGCAAGCACAGCGAGCAGGCGTTAGCAGTCTCCCCGCCTTCAGCCTGACGTCGGCTGGACTTTCAGGATAACGTCACGCCGGTGATGAATCAAAGCGAAAGCTAATGCTAAGCGGTTAACTAGCAATCAAACCATGTGCAGCTAACGTCACCGAGCTGCGGTTAAAAACTCCGGCTTGTTCAGAGGCTACACTTCCAGCTCGTGTGACGGCAGCATCAGTTTACTACAAAGACTCAGCGTTCGAACTGCTGACTTACTTCAACACCTGGTTTCTTCCTACGAGACGTGTGAGCAGCCGGCAGGGTGGACCAGCGGGTGATCCAATCTTACATCAGCGACATGTATGGCTCTGCTATCGATTCACTGCAGGACTCAGGAAAAAGCAATCGAGTGAGGAACTATGTTGACGAGCGTCTAATCTTCTTCGGTGTTTATTTGCAGTTGGAAAACAACACATTTGCCCATTACCGCCACCAACCGGTGAGAGGTCTCCATCAAAACGTCTGTAATGTCAAGTTAAGTTATTAATGAGTATTACTTAATTAATACTGATTAACAACTAATTGACTGATATTTTTGTTATGTAGTGTGGTACATTTACTCTGGGCAGATATTCATAAATGGATACAACAAAAGATTCTTTCATTCCTAGCTTCTATGTCTAAAGATATAACATGTGGTATAATTTAAACAGCAAAAATGATGAACCTTTCATACACAAGAACAGGATTATGAAATCATCCCCCAATTTGGCTTTTTTCTCAAATGTATTTAAATTATATTTTAAATCCTTGAGATTATTGAAGACTGCCAAAACAAAAATTTAAATGTTTTGAAATTGTTTCCCACTGAATTGGATAATTGAGTTGAAATAAATTTCCTTTATGTACCATTTTATTGTTCATTTATATTATTTGTTTTTTCTCCATTTCTTCTTTATTTTCCTTTCATTGTTATCATTGTTGATGGTTCATTGTCAACCAGTGGGCAGCCTCCTCCCAAAGGTCTGAAGCACTGCAGGGGAGTCGCAGCCCTGCATTACTGCACATCAGCAAAAATATCCCCCGGGTCTGCCCGATCCCCTGGAGCCAACTTCTACTTCTGCTACACACCATCAATAACTCTATGAATACATCTGAATAAAAAAATCACTGAAGTATCTTTTCTGTTTTTCCCGTGACGATGAGAAAAAAGCCTGAATCAATCCTATTTCCTTTGGGATCGATAGAGTATCTATCCATCCATCTATCCATATTGGAGTATGTATATTGAAACACCAATTTAAAAAAGTACTCAGTAAATATACATAATTTTCTGTCAGTACTATTATAACAATCCATGTTTAAAAGCAATTAACACTCTCTAATAGACTAAACACTCCTCCTTTACTACCCACCACGTGTTATTACACCCTTAAAGCAGTAAATGACTGATGACTGATCACCCTGTCCATCGGTAACAGTCTTCGTTAGGGACATAGACAGGTAATGTAACTCTGAGGACCCCACATTTCCTTTGTGCGCCTCTGCAAATAAAGCAACACTGATGATGCGTTCAAATGCCTCATTTTAATCACTTACTTTAATGCATAAATCACACACAGGACACACATCTTATAAAAGAGTAACAGAACAACGGGGGAGCATTTGCATGTGAGTTTTTTCTCCTCAGTGTCCACGAAGCCCGGGTTAGGTCAGTATATGTCGGGACACTGAAGACTCAGGAGTCGGGATCCAGGCGGGGGAGCACCGGGAGGATGAGGTTCCCGAACGAGGAGTCCTGAGTGATGAAGAAGCCGGACGAGTGTCCGTGAGCGTGCTGCAGGGCCGCCTTCTGCTGGGCGGCGATGTGCTGCTGCTCGGCGCTGTCCCTCGCGTCCTTCAGGCTCGGTCTGGACGACAGCGGGATGTTGGCTCCGGGGCTGTTCATGGACCCGCTCTGCAGCAGGCGCTTCTTCTCCTTGTCCAGCTCCGCCAGGATGGCCACACGGGTCTTGTTCGGAAAGCCTGGTCCCGGAGGATTGGCCGCCATGTTCGCAGCTCAGCAGCGGGGAAAGTCAGCAGGGACTCCGGTCCATGAAGGAGGCTGGTGGCTGTCACTTGTTTACGGTTATTCAGATTAAGAGAAGCTAACGTTGCTAACAGACAGGAAGGGATGCTACATGCTAACCATACAGTCTATGATGCTAACCGATACTAACACGGCACAACACTTCCGGCGCGTCGCTTCAGCATCCTGCCTTCAAAATAAAAGCACACACGTTACAGAAGAAGACTTCACTGTATCAAGTCTTGTTGGATCATCAAGCACGTGTATGAATCTGTATATACAGTCTATGGTATTAATGAAGGAAAATAATTTAAGATTTGCATTAATAGTTTTTAATAATGTTGCACGAACCTTAGCAGACTATGACAAATACTGAACTCAGCACCTGATATGACAAATAT